AGGCTCACGCCGCAATCCCTGCTCCTCCATTCTCCTCTCGGGATCTTGGGCACGCACGCACACGCGCCCGGCGTGAGTTTTAAGCCACCGGGTCCGGGACACAAACCGCGGTCGACTACGTGGGAGTCCAGCGACATAGCCATTACGCTAACTGCTGGTTCCAGGTCCCTATCTTTGAAGCTAGTCAGCTGAGAGTCAAGAAGGTGGCGGGCTGGACCAGACCGCTCACCAGCCGAGCTGCCCCTGCTCTTCCAGCTGTCACAGCGGAGGACATGGTGGAGGGCCCCGATGGCCCTCAGCGGGCAAGCATGGGGGCTGCACGTACCTTGTCCAGCTGCGCCTGCGCCCGCTGCAGCTCCTCCACTCGGCGCCTCTCCTTCTCCTGCATTTCCATCTCCAGCTGGAACGCCAGCTGCTGCTGCGTGTGCGGGAACATACATGTTAGTAGGAGGGGTGGGGTCAGAACACGCCTCGTAAGTGTCTTGGGGTGACTGGCTTACACTCACCTCAGCTTCAGGGTCTTACAGAACTATGGTCACAGTCATCTAATAGCTTAGTGTCTACAAATATCACCTTAAGATTGTAAAAAGAAAGTTTCTTAATTGCTAACTATAGAGAGCACAATGTATACAAAATCAAGTAGCTTTCTGTGTTCAACTTATAAGCAAGAGTGCAGTGAGTTTTTCAGATTAAAGCTCTTCACGGAGCCAGACCTCGTAGAACAGTGGGTGAGGAAACCCTGATCAGACGCCTGGGCCACGGCTAGTCTGCAGCGTGTCGCTGCCCACATCGCATCTACGCTGCACTGGAGCCGGGTCAGCAGACGGCCCGGGGCCACACCCGCCCAGCCCGTGTCTGCACAGCTAAGGTGATTTTTATTGCCCTTAAACAGGGGAAGGAAAGCAGGGGTCTACTTCATGGCCCATGAGGATCGCCTGTGGTTCTAAACTCTGTCCGTGAATGACGCTCTGACCTGCAGTCACCCGCATTCCCTATGGTCTGTCTCTGCCCCGGGGGGGACAGCAGAGTGCGGTGGGTAGGCAGAGCCCCCAGTGGTGCTGTGTCACGCATCCCACAGCCCCAGGGACGGCCGACAGCACCACGGCCCACTGCAGCACTCTGTGCCCGATGTGCCCAGACAAGGAGAGGGGAGGTGGAACATCACGCAGCAGGACCACACCCGTGGGCGCCCCTCCTCTCCCCCTCTCTGTCTCTCTGGTGGGTGTGTGCCATCTGAGAGGAAAATGAGGCAAGTGATTCTGAAGGGTTTTCTTTAACTCTGGGTGAGTAGTAGACATTCCCAACACTGCCAGCTGCTATTTACCTGGAGCGTGACTGAAGAATCGGGCCCTGCAGACAGCTCTCTAGGACAGCTACAGGCAGGGCGCCTGCCCCACCCCTCACACACCCATCTGCGAACTGGACGCCACTGAGGCCAGGCGGTCTGGATGTGAACCACCAGGACACACCTGCAGGTGCACACTGAGTCTGACCAGCTAGAGGGTCCAGAAGGGGTCGTGGTGTGACAAGACCCTGTTGAGGGTGCCCATCCCGCCTTTCTGCATCTCTGCTGACTCTCTCTCATGTTCTTCCTTCATGAAGGAAATAAAAGAAACTTTATTGCTTTTAGAAAAAAGAAAATTTGGGGGCCAGTAGGTGGCATAGTGATTAAGTCGCTGGACTTCCACCTGGCCGACCGTGGTTCAAGTCCCAAACCTGGTGGCTTACTTTCTCGATTTCCCTCTCTATGAGCATGAGTGCTCTATAGAAAAATTTTTAAATAAATTAATAAATAGGGGCTAGCAGGCATAGTGGTTAAGGCACTGGACTCCCACATAGTTGACCACAGTTCGAGTCCTGGAACCAGCAGGTTGAAACTCATGTGCATGCCCGAAATCCAAGAGGAGCCTGGAGGAGGGATCGTGGTGTGGCCATCCTCCCAGGGAGTGATTTCTCACTTTCTGTTTCTCTGTCTCCCTGTCTGTTCTTGAGAATAAAAAAGGCATCCTTGAACAATGTTGTGAGGAAACAGAGGATGTTCAAAGCCAGTGAGGGCCTGCCCTGCCCCTGCAGCCCTGTGGGTGGTGCCGAGCTGTCCGCTGTGGAGCCTCTCTTCAGCGGTGGCCTGCGCTGGTTCCTGTAGGCCCAGCCTTCATCAGTCTGTGAATTTTTGTTGGAAATAGAAGCTGAATATTGCATATCGTAACTTGTCCTACCACACAGCAGTTACATAGCTTGACAGTGGTAATCTTATATTGTGAATTTTTTAGCTCAGAGCCAAGATTCAATATTTAACATTTTTTCCAGAGGGTGCATGTGCTCACCTGAGAGATATGGGCCGGGGGAAGCACCCCACGTGGAATGCTCATGCCACCCCCATTCTCCAGTCCTTCCTCCTTTTGGGGTTTTGGGCACACACAGATGTGTGCCTGGTGTGTTTTACAGGTGTGTGTTGCTGGGTCCGGGAGGCAGCCTGCACGGTCAGCAGGTGGGGCCAGTGTCTTCACCACCACACCACGGCCTGGCGCAATGCCTGACGTCATGTGTGGGTCCGAGGCATGACGTCGTGATGAACGTGGAGAGAAGCGGTCACTGCGGTGGCCAGCCCAGCATCTCGCGTCTTGGCTCCTTTCATGGCAGAGCACACGGAGTCCACGTTTGTGACACCACAGAGTCCACGTTTGCGACACCACGGAGTCCACGTTTGCGACACGTTCCCTGGACACACTGCTGTGCTTTTTTTTTTTTTTTTTGAGAGAGATTTTTGTCATTGAGTATATGCTCTCACTGGAGAGACAGAGAGAAATCACGTCCCAAGGGGTGGCCAGGCCACAATCCTTTCTCCTCCATTCTCCTCTTGGGATCTTGGGCATGCATGCACATCCAGCACGATTTTAAGCCACCGGGTCCAGGACTCAAACCACGGTCGACTACATGGGAATCCAGGATGTAACCATTACTCCAACTGCTGGTCCCAAGAAGTGTTACTAAGCGTGGTCCTTGGGCTGTCCCTGAGATGGCTGGGTTTGCGCACTCTCAGCACTGCAACTTTCTCCGACCACCCCCTCCGACCGCCCTCGCCCCCCACTGGTAAAACAGTTCTTTGTTTCTACACACTCTGTTTCTTTTCAAAGATTCCCCATGTCAGGGAGACCGTGCAGTGTCTTTCCATATCTGGTTTATCTCACTTAACATAACACATCCAGTTTCTCTCAGGTCATCACAAACAGCAGGATTTCCTTCTCTGTAAAGCTGAGAACTGCTCACACCCAACCCAACCCACTGGCAGCCGCATGGCTGGCTTCCACACTGTGGCCTTTGTGATCAGAGCTGTGATGGGCACAGGGACGCAGCCAGTCCTGTGAGGCGTTGATTTCATTTCCTTTGGCTAGGCTATACACCCTGCAGGGAGAGTACAGAGTCACATGGTAGCTCCATGTCTAACTACCCGAGGGCTCTCCACTCTGCTCGTCTTCGGCTGTACCAAGTTCCCGCCAGCAGACGACGGCTCCCCTTCTTCCACACCCTCACCAAGGTGGGAGGGGGTGCCTGTCGGGGGCCTTGACTTGCACCTCTCTGACGAGCGATGCTGAGCACCTTCTCCTGTACCTGCTGGCCACTTTCATTCTTCTTTGGAGAAATGTCTATTTCATACTCCTTGCCCATTTCCAATCAGGTTACTCATTGTTTTGCTGTTGAATCTTCTGAGGCACTGATGGATTTTGGATACAAACCCCTCATGGGATATGCGATTCGCATTTTCCCCAGGCACACGGGCTCCTCTTGCACTTGGTTGCTTCCTTTGCTGTGCATAAGCATCTGATTTGACCCAGTCCCACATGTATACGTTTGCTCTCACTGCCTGAGCTTCTCATGTCACATCCAAAAAGTCATGGCCAGGACCCAGTCAAGGACCTTCGCTGGTACCGCTTTCTCTCACGCCAGATGCATGCATGTGTGTGCCCAGGATCTCGAGAGGAGAATGGAGAAGGGTTTGCAGCATGGCCATACCCATGCGGGGAAGCGGGGGGGTGGTGATTTCTCACTTGCTGTCTCTCTGTCTCTCTCTCTGGTGAGCACATGCACCCCACTGCAAAAATCTCTCAAAAAAAAAAAAAAAAAAAGACACAAGTCCCTTCACACTGTCTTGCACATGGCTGTCCAGGTCTACCAACAGCATTTACCAAAGAAACCATCTTTTCCCCATTGTAGCTTCTTTTTAAATTTTGTGTATCTACTTGTTCCATGAATGAGAGAGACAGAGCAAGAGAGAAACACAGAGACAGTGTCCCCAACAGGATCCTGACCCCACAGCCTCCTCCAGCTGCAGCGGCCTGGAACATGTCCATGTGCCCCAGTGCGCTCAGAGATGTCTCTGGATACACACCAGCACCTCACAGCGGGCGTGCCCCCAAGATGCAACTCACTGCTGGACGGCCAGCAGCCCCCTCCCCCGCCACACCCCCGCCTTCTTGCAGGTACGTGGGAATTGGATGACGATAAATGCGTGGGTCTGCTCGGGCCCTGCGGGCTCTGTCTGTCCGCGCTCTGCTCGGGCCCTGCGGGCTCTGTCTGTCCGCGCTCTGCTCGGGCCCTGCGGGCTCTGTCTGTCCGCGCTCTGCTCTGGCCCTGCGGGCTCTGTCTGTCCATGCTCTGCTCTGGCCCTCTGGGCTCTGTCTGTCTGTGCTCTGCTCTGGCTCTGTGGGCTCTGTCTGTTCGTGCTGTCACATACGGCCCTAGCCGGCTCTGGCGGGACCACGATGCAGAATCTGGGGTGCGGCCCCAACCTGCTCTGTCTCCGATTATTTTTACTTTGCAACTCCAGGTCTCTTATGGTTCCAAACCAATTTTAGGGTTTCTATTTCCTATTTTTGTGAAGAATGACATCAATTATTTTGAAGAGATGGGGGTGGATCTATAGCTCGCTTTATGTAGTTAAAACATTTTCACGACATTAATTATTCTAACCCATTAACACAGGGTACCTTACGATTATCTGGGTCTCCACCTGTCCACATCCATGGGTTAGTGTTCTGTACAGACTTTTCAGCTCCTTGTTAGGTTCATCCCTAAGTTATTCTGTCCTTGTCAATGCTCGCGTAAGTAGGAATGTTTTCTTGACTTCATTTTTGGAGGTCATTTGTATACAAGATTTATTTTTTTCTAGATGAGAAGAACCATTCTGAACCACTATTGAACATGAAATGGCTTTGGAAATTCGCTTTGCTGCAGACAGGATAATGTTTCCTAAGTCAAACTACAATTACTAGGCAAAGCAGCACTCATATAAAACTTACTCCACTGTAAAATCATTGTCGTTTGCACCAAAAGTAATGCCAAGCTGCTTGATTCACAGGATGCTGTCCAAACCGAGACCAGAAATCAGGTCTCCATGCCCACAGAAATTTGAAGTGGATC